CTCATGGTGTTGCAAATTTAAAGGACAGTGAGATAATTCCATTCCTCAGGATTAGACTATTAATACTAAATTAATACTAATTATTATTACTATTAATACTAATTAGTATTAGTGTTAGTATTAATATTAGTATTAGTACTAATGCTAAATTAATACTAATTTTCTACCCCAAAATTAGTAGAAAATGTAACTGATTGGTGAAATGTGTTCTCAGAAGTCAACACATTTGGTGAGTTTTATGCTGTTTTGCATATATGCTTACAAATGATTCTTGAAAATGTAGGCATTGCATTTATGAGTATTATACTGGATTCACAGGAAATATTTACAGTGTATAAATATTGTGTGGTTTGCATATGTAAGAATTCCTTTTTTGGGCCAGCCAGATAGCTTAGCAGATTAAAGTGCCTGCTTAGGCAGATGCAGGACTGGGTTTCCTGTGCTGGCCCACCCCTGAGGCATAGGACAACTGAGACTGGGCTTGGTGCTGCATGCCTGTAATCCCAGCACTTGGGAGGCTGAAAACAGGAGGATCACTACAAGTCTGATCTACATAGTGAGACCATGTGGACCATGTACTGAATGCATAAAAGAGAATGCCTTTATTGCACTTGTAACACTTAAAAAATAAAGCCCATAACGCTAATATTTTAAAATCTAAGAACATTAGATGAACATGGTATTGGGTATTAGGGAAACTTGATCAGTCCATTATTTGCTTTCCTGCCTCAATGGCCCTTGGTAATTTACTTGGCTGTCTTTATTCATGCAGTGACCTTTCTCTGAGGAGATACTCTTTAATATGGCTTTCAATAATTGACTAGGAAAATAAAAAATACATTGCATATGATAAAACAGATATAATTATAGCTATCACAAGGGTACTGCAGATCTCACACATAGCATTTGCTGTAAAATAAATTATGTAGAAAATTTCCTGTCATCTGAAAGATATAGTTATCAAAATATAATTTGCTAGTGTTTTCCAGGCAGATACATGTTGAACCCACCCTTCAATTTGTTCCATGTCTGATTCTTCAGGATCCTTCCCAAATGGTTCCTCCCTCATATTCCTGCCTAACTTCCCACAAGAAGACTTCGTTCACCAGTTTCCTGGAGCTCTGATCCTAAAGCCACAGGAAAGGAGCTCGTGGATTGTTAGTCACTTTCACACATATGCTTCTCCTTCCAGACTACATAGAGTTGGTTTTCTTTTTGCTGTAATGCCTGCAGGAACACAGAGTGATAAGTAACTGCTGCTATTTCTGTAGAGGCTGAGAACTCACTTCCAACTCAGAGGTGTCTATAACTGTGTTATTTCAAACTTACTAACAAATGCTAGCAAAATTTCCATGCAAATGATAGACACAGTTTTAGATTAAGAACTGTTAGGGCAAACAATATTTATTTATTAAAATGTGATAATATTTCAGTGCCTTCCTTCCAGATCTGTGTTGTTAGCTTCAGCAGAATGAGAAAATACAATCAGCATAAATGTGTGAGAAGTAAAGCGTGAACTAATCAGCATCTGACACACCATACATGTCACTGTCCACATCCAGAGGCTTCTGCTGAAAGTCAAGAAAGGCCTAATATTCATCTGAAAATGGATAATTAGGGTGGTCAGCAGCCCTAGAATAGAAAAAATTCATAAAATCCTGTTAGAAATAGAGATGATATTTATTTCCTGAAAGGTGTAGAATCTCTTAATAAAATTGCTTATATAGGAAAACTTTCAACAAATTAGTTCTACTTCCTTGTCTGGGATACAAAATAACCCAAAACAGTTAAATATTCAACGAGATTCCTCTCTGTTAGTTATATCTGTCAATCTACAAAAGCAATAGATCATACTCTCTTATTTCAAATTTTCAATAGAGTTAGAAACTATTCTTTATATAAACAACGATATTTGTAGACTTTAGTCAAAACAAAGGCATTTTAAGATGCATCATTTAATGTTAGAAATTTCAGTCCCATATTTCCATTCATTAGTTATTTTCACATTGCGTTTGATCGAGAGGTAGAAAAGATATCACTTACAGATCATCTACCATATTGAAGAAGCTTAAGATAAATTTATATATATGTGTCTAATATCCAACATATAAGGTAATAAATATCAATAACCTTATACATTCAATTTGTAATTAGAATTACTAATTGTCTGGCTCTCTACTTCTGCATTAACACACTTTTATTTTCATTCTAAATTAAAAGTAACACAGCTGGAGGGAATATATGTTAATTTATTAATCCTAAATATACTATTTGTCTCGTCAGATTCTATGTTATTAATGCACCATAGAAAACTAAGGTCTATTATTTGCTTTAAGTTCTCTCCAACAGTGGAGTTTTTTCCTGCACATTGTTTCCTTGATTCATGCTCTTCACTGATATACACGTATTTCAGAATACCAGAATCAGGTGTTCTATTGATTGTCTGAATTTCAACCTTTTTACAAGCAAATATAGTTTGGGTTCTGAACAGTCATGTAATTAAAGAAAGGAAGAGACTTGGAAGAACACATGAAATGTAATGGATCCTGTAAATTTCAAGTGAAGGAGCTGGGAAATTTTGGTTTGGATGACAGTATTGATAGGGATGCTGTTAATGCTCCTTACAAGTTTTGGAGAAATATGGTCTAGGCTTGAAACCTGGAAATGCTAAATAGGCCATGTTGGTAATATCCACAAGAGAATCTTATATCACAGAGGCCTGTATAGATTATGCATGCAGCAGTGATATTGACTGATTTGAAACATTCCATGGAACAAGAGTGCAGAGGTCATTTTTTGGAAATCCAGACAGACTGTGAGTTGCGATTACTTTATTGCCATGCCAAAGGACAAAAGATAACCTATGAACAGAGTCCCAGAAAGCTCATTTTATCCATAACACAAACTAGCAAATTTCCCCTTAGTGTTGTGGTAAGTTTTAGAAATTACATTGTATTCTTCCTCAGAAAATAAATTATGGCAACATATTTACTGACGTTACTTACAAATCAATGGTAATATAACGAAGATTTTTGTTCAGGCCATTTAGGACTTTCATGTCCTCTGAAGTCAGCTGGAATTTAAAAACCTATAACAGAAGTAGAAAAGCTTTATTGTACTTAGACTGCATATTTTTCAACGAAGAAATTCCAAATGAATGGTACAGATATATGAAGAGTTTTGAATAATCATTTAATATATAAAGCAAAAAAGACAAAGAAATTTTAAGTGCCAGGTAAAAAAAGTGAATAGAGATCTATTCTGACATAAAAAAATAGTCAAACTTATAATGTTTCATACTAAAAGAATATCATGTACTCAGAAAAATCTAGGTCCAAAATTAAAAATATATAAGACATTTCAATAATTTTCATGAGATGATTTGGATTTCTGTAGCTCACGAAAAATCAGTGTGAAAAGTATTCTCCTCCATGTAAGGCAGGAAGTGTCTCAATACAACGATGTCATATAAAAACAACACAGAAAATGGGCTGGAAAATAGTCTGATTTTATCAACTTTGGACAAATTAAACATCATAAAACAATTTAATTCCTGAGATATTGAATGAATGGATGTTTAAATCTACAATAATAATTTCAGAAACAAAGAGACAAATTAAAAATGTCAACAATCTAATGATGATGAATTTACACAATGGGCATTTTGATTTATTTAATTTTTTCTCAAAATTTGAAGCTTTAATACAAATTTAAATGTCATTAAGAAATGATTTATAGGGCTGGGGAGATGGCTCAGTAGAATAAGTGCTTCCCTGGCAAGTGCAAGGGTCTGAGTTCAAACCCTGGTTCTGAACAAAAAAAAAAAAAAAA